CCCACCACAAGGTTATATGAAGAGGCACAATGTAAAGTTATATGAAAATTATCAGAGATTGATCTACAAAGTATCTATCTAAAGCTAAACCTACTGGAGACAATGCAGTCTTGCTCTTTTTTGTTACTGTTCTGATAAATTGATATTTTAAAATATTTGACTTTTTGGACACATTTGACTGGTCAATTGACCAATTATTTTTGTACTAGTCAAATGCCCAATTCTAGATGCAGCTGTTACCCCACATGTTACTTTCTCATTCTCAGTGCTGGCATCTAAGCTTTCATCAGCTGCTCTGTGCCCCCCTGCTGGCCCTGCATGCCCGGACGGCTGGATCGGGTACCGAGGGAAATGCTACTATTTCTCAGAGGCCGAAGGGAACTGGACCTACGTACAGCGCCACTGCTCCTCCTTTGGTGCCTCCCTGGCTGGGATCGACAATGAGCAGGAAATGGTGAGCGACTCTCTAATTGCGATACACTGGTCTTGGCACAGCAGCTGCTGCTGCAGTAGGACCTGGGCTCTGCCCCTGCGGGGCGAGGAGCAGCTCTGACCCCTCTGGTGCTGGGAGGCCAGAGCGAATGGACTTCCAGCCCCTCAGTGCCAGTCCTGGCTGGGCCCAGGGCCCTACTGTCTGTGTGTGATCACAGGCATTGCCCATTCTCAGCTGCCCCCCTCCCCAAATAGGGAGACAGCCCCTCTCTAGGCAGGGCTGGCTCAGGAATCTCCTGGCTGCTGGAGTGGGACGGAGACCACAGGCAGTGTCCTGCTTTGGGGATGGGAAAGGAGCAGCCAGCGGGGGGGGGATCCTCTCAAATTGACCCCTCCTACTTCAGCTTGACTCGCTCCCTCCTCCTGCCTTGCAGTGGTGAGCGGCTGCTGCTCTGTGAGAAGAGACGTCTCTGCAGGGAGCTCAGACCCAGCAGCTGCCCCCAGCCCAGGGGAACTTGGGGTGCAGGTGACTGGGAGCACAGGGGTGTGTGCGGTGGGAGGGTTAATATTGCCTGGGTGATCTTGTGCTTTGCAAGAGGGAGGGGGAAATCCAGCATCCTTCTGAAAATAGATTGAGCCCCTTCAATGTGTGACTGGGATTCTCTGCAGCACAGGGGCATGGGGGGGGAAGCACCAGAGCTGGGACTGATACCTGCTGTCCCTCGGATTTCTTTAAGGCGTTCCTGCTGCGCCATAAGGGTGTCCGTGACCACTGGATCGGCCTCCGGAGGGAGCAGGAGCAGCCCTGGAAATGGACCAACGGCACCGAATTCAACGGCCTGTGAGCGTCTCACCCCTCTGTACTAATTCCCTGGGTTTGGGGATTCTGGTGTCTGAGCTGTTTTGAGTTTAGGTGGAGCCACCATTCAGTGCTAGTGAAACAAGCAGACACAACCCTGGTCCGTTCGCGTCCTGCGTGTACCAGAGACCGATGGGAGCCGGCGTGTCCCGAAACTCTCGGCTCCTCCCCGCAGCGCGGTGCTGGGCCGGAGACAGAGCCCGCCATAGCCAGAGGTGCCCTCGCAGCGCGCTGGGATCTCAGCTGGGGCACTCGCTGTTCTTCCCCAGCCCTCAGCAAGGTCCCTGGGGTGTCTGACCCCCCCCCCCGACATTGGAGCTAAAGAATCCACTTCTTTAACTGAAAACCCCTCCTGATTGATAAAGCTCTTATGCAGGGCAGCCAGCAGAGGGGGATGGAGACCCCCCACTTCCCTGGTCTGGGTTACTTCAGTACTTTGAAAAATCAGGCTGTTATGGTGCTGGGTCAGCGCTCCCCAATGGCCAGTCCCTATTGTGCTGTATTGGACCCAGCCTTGGATCCCACCTGCTTCCAGCCCCACTGGGTCTGAATAGCTACGAGACACTGTCCCTAGTTCGGGCCTCTGTGGCACACTGCTGGGGTACAGCCTCCCTGTCTGGTTCCCTCCTTAGGATGTGGGACCCTGCAGTCCAGCTGCTGTAGGGCCCAAAACCAGTGCTGAACCCTCCCAAACCTCCCTAGAGGCCATGTTGTCCCTAGAGCTCCACCCTCCAATCCAGATTAACTCTGGGAGGGTCATGTGATGGTTACAAACAAGGAACACCTGCTTTTGCAAAGGAAATTCTTAAACACACTCTCTTTTCCCCCTTCCCAATGGAAAGCTCAAGAGTTATAGATCAATGGAAGAGGAAACACCTGAATACAATTTCCTCCTTCAGTGTCATCTTGGTTCTGCTCAGAGTGTTTTAAGGAGGCAGGGATCCCTCCTGCCCCGCACTTCTCCTGCTCAGTCTGGTTCTGGTGATGCTCTGCCCCTCTTGTTAGAGTACCGGTCCCTTTTGAAAATCAGTCTCACAAATTCTCTCCGTCCTGCTGGGGACTTTCCATTCTCCAGCACCCTGTGGGCTGCTCAGCGTAGAGGGTCACTAACAGTCAGCGGTTCTGCAAAGCCCCCACTGTCCTGAGCTCTGCTCCTGAGGGGCTGTGAGTAGCTGCTCTGCACTCAGGCCTGCACTGTGGGAACGGCTCCCCTGGCTGTGACTGGTGTGAAATGCCCGGGCTCTGCCTGACTCCAGCTCCCTGGCTTCTGTGTTGCAGGTTTGTGATCAGAGGAGGAGGTGACTGCGCGTATCTGAATGATGAGAAAGGGGTCAGCAGCTCACGGTGCTACATGGGAAGACGATGGATCTGTAGCAAACCTGAGGTGTATGTGATGGGAAAAGGGACTGCACTGGAAGGGAGCTCAAAATAAGTCTCCTAGAAATGACACTGATACAACTCACACCTACAGTACTTGAATGAGCCATGTCCCCATTCATCAGCCTGGCCAACCGCAAGATCTCAAATTCAGGCAGTGGGGCCCTCAAGCAATAAGTGTGTGTAGTTTAAACTGTGGATTCTTTGTATCTGCCTTCTGCTTCTGCTTTTCTCTGCCGCTGAGAGGGCGTGATCTTATGAGAAGGAGTCTCAGCCACACGCTGGGGAAATGAGGTAAGGGGAGGCCTTGTTAGTTTAGACTCCAGAACAGCATTTCTCAAATGCATCCACCAGCCGATTGTTTTGCAGCCACGAGAGCCTCCAAAGCGCCCCGACAATCGCTGAGATGTTAAGTATTAAAGTTGCCTCGTAAATGCCATAAATCATAATGCACCCTCCCTTCTAAATAGTACAGTGCAGGCAGAGCTGAACTACCTGCCATTACATAGGTGTGGTTTTCTTTCAGGTTACAAAGCGTATTCATGGGCTAATCACTGTGTTTACATCTCCTGTTACTGTAGCTCTGTAAGCAGCTACTGACCGTCTCACTGCGTGGTGTTTGGGTAGGTTGTGATTCATAGGTTCATAGGGGGAGGTGAAAGAGTTAAAAATGCC